TGCAGGTGCAGAATAGGGTTCTGCCCTGGGTCACATTGGCCACGTGTAGGCTCAGCTCTCTTTCACCGACCCGCGTGGCCCGGTAATCTGCTCCAGGAAGGGATATGACCTCCTTATCCCCGGAACTCCGCAGACTGGCCAGCAACTGTAGCTGCCCCTGGAGATCCTGTTGGTACCAGCTCATCCAGGGGTACTGGGGATTCCTCAGGATGCAGCGTAGGGTTTCAGCCTGTCCGCGAGGTACCAGGACCCACCTGGGGCTTTGCTCCACCAAGTTTGTGTCGGCATCTGAAATACACAAGCAGGCCAGGCTAAAGGTCCTGGGGGTAGTAAAGGTAGCTAAAGGTCACTGCCAGAAATAACTAGTTACAGCCGAATCCTGAAGAGGGGGTCCTATGAGTAAGGCGGAGAGGAGGCTGCTGGGAACAGGATGGGCACTCTCACAGGGCGAGGAGATACGTAGAGCTGGGATCAGGGAGCAAAACCTTCTGTACCCACAGGGGCTCCAGTGACCCAGTCCATTTTTTCCCTCCCTCAAGCCACCGAGTGGCTGTCTCTGCCTGGCCTCTCACCTGTACTCACTGCACCCATGAGAACCCAGCCCCACAGGATGGGAAACAGGGCCATTCCCGGGCCTCTCCAGCAGGGCAGTGGGACGGGGGACCATGGGACAGGGACAGCCTAGGCAGGAGAGCTGGTCTTGGCCTGTACGGTGGCGATTAGTGTCTGAGACTCCCTGGGCCCGACACTCAAAAGGGAGCAGCTTTTCCAGGAAACTCAATATCTTACCTTCTCACTGAGGCTCAAACCTCAAACTGGAGTTTCCTGTTCCGGCACGCCAACACGCACTCACTCGTACACACTCCCCAGGCTCACTGGGGGCCTCAGTGAGGGTGCCTGGCCCTGCACCCTCTCAGCTGTTTCGCAGAGATTCCATGCTGAATCCGTGCCTCAAATTTTTGCAAGGAATTAAAATAACTCATTGCAATGAAGCCACACTTGCAGATTGAACAAAGACATCTTCTCATAGGCATAGAGGCTGCTGCAGGTCAGTGTTGGGCAGTCGGCAATGGACACTCATCTCCAGTGACCTGTGTTTTCCTCTGTAAAAGCAAATACAAACCAAATGGAAGAGGCTCAATTCTCCTGTTGAAAATAAGGGGAGAGACTTCCCTCCCCTCCATTTTCTTAGAGCATTTACTGTAGAAAACTTGTAAGTTCTTTCTCTGTCTCTTTGAAATGCATACACTCTTAAAAGCTAAATCACCTCTTGCCAGCATTAAGACCCAGGAATGTCTTTCCCAAGGACCTGCAACCATCTCTTCGGAATATAAACATCAAGGAAGATGAGCTTAACTTAGTCTAGAGCAGACTGCTGGCACCGAGTTGCAAAATGATTTCATCATAAAGATATAACGTGTTTATTTCTCCTTTGGTAAAGCCAATCTGCAAACACAGATAGACAGCCCAATTACCAAGTGACTCCAGCATGAACTGTGGATTAACAGAAGGTCCTGTCGACTAGTTATTGCTTATCTTGGGAACACGTGTGTAGTGGGTTTGCTCTGCTGGTCTGTATGATAGGCCGAAATTTCTTTTTGTCTCTGCAATCTCTTAACAAAATGCTTGTGGTGCGTATCACATTCTGACTTAATGATTATTCAATAATAAAACTGTTTTCTTTCTCTTCTACCTTCGTGGAGAGATTTTCTGAGTTGGGAGGGGATTTTGTTTTTAATTGTATTTTCCCAGCAACTCACAGTGCTGCCACTTACTGGCAGTGTGAACTTGGACTTCCGTTTCTTCCTCTGTAAGATGAATAATGAAAGCCATTTCATAGGAGTAAGTGGATTCATACATGAACATTTCTGAGAGTAAAACTTGGCAGAGACTAATCACTTAATGAGTTGACCTCTATTATTGCAATTGTAAACTTCCTATAAAAACATAATTATAGTGGCTTTTATTGGTCTTTAATCTCCTATCACTTAGTAATCAACTGAGATTCAAATCACAAGTTCTCATACTTTTTAACATTGATAAGAGGCCTCGTGTTTTGGTAACCAATGATCTGGGAAATGAGATTTAAAAGACCCACACCTACCGTGGCTGCAACCTCAGCATTTTATAGACAAAACTATGGAGACACGGAGGGGTCTAGCAACAAAACTACTCTTTCAGGACCTGGGGCTGCACAATATTCAAGTTGGTGTCAGGACACTCCATAAATGGAGAGGGGAATTAAGAGCGGGGTGAGGCTGCAGACCCATCTTCCGAGAGAGTCTGTGTGTCGCGGCCCAGCAGCGGCCTGGCATCCTGGGGGTCTGTGCCTCCCAGAGTCACTATTTTTTCTAATCTGCTGGAGTTTTAATGCAACAATACGGTTCACATGAGTCTGGCAAAAGATAACAGTCACTGATGGCATTTGGTGATGGCATAATACAGTTGGCTTGCGAGCTTTGAACCCGTGTGATTCCTGATTTTTTAAAACTACAGATTTTCATTATGTACAATTCCGTGTGTAACTTCATTAATATTTTCTATATCACACTTTCAAATTTGCATGATCTAAATGTGCACAAAATGTCAGTTGCACTACATTCTAAGTAACATGTGGTGATTCCGTTTTTTTTGGGGGGGGAGGCGGGAATCTGATTTTTTTCTATGTAAGTTTCAGGTGTACAGCGTTATAATTCAAAACCTGTACACACTGCAAAGTGATCTCCACCACAAGTATGGTTACCATCCATCACCGTGCAGTTGACCCCCTTCACCCGCGTCACCCACCCCCATGTCCCCTTCCCCTCGGGTAAACTCTGCTCTGATCTCATGTGCTGAGTCACTCTTGTCTTTGGCCCCCTTACCTATTCCCAGCCACATCCGTCACTCCAGAGAGGGAGAGAGATGAGCTCTGTGAAGCATTGCCCAAATCACACCTCTTGAATACCAGACCAAAGGACATGCCGAGATGGTGTGTCCTCACGAGCCTCGTGCACTTAATCCTGAGGTTTGCTTCTGAGACAGTCAACTCTGGGATTTGGATGACTAAAGGAAAGGGGGCTGGGAGAGGGGAGAAAACCATAACTGGGGTTGTGGTGGTCAGCACTCTGGCCGGTGAGCGGATTGCAGGAAAACGGATCCTGGACCCATCTTGGTGTACAGGGCTGGCAGTCCTATCTCCCGGCCCCCTTCTCCATTTGTCTTAATCCCCAGGTGCAATTGGGATCTGAGTGTCTCTGACACCCCTGTTATCTCCTCCCCGGGCTCCGGTTCCTCAAGGTCGGTGCCTCCCCAGGCTCCATCCTCTGGCCCTGGCCAGGCTCCCGTCCTGGGCCGAAGTAAGCCTCTTCCTTCCAGGTGGCTGCTTAGCTCCCTACCTTCTCTGCCTGCTCAGAGGTGGGCAGTATGCTTGCCCTCTTGGGAACGGTGTTTTCTCCCCACCGCACCCCAGTTACTACCCAGGTGCTCACAGCAGCTGCAAACAACCTCAGCTGGATCCTTACCAGCTTTGACGGGCTCCATAGGTAATGAGAAGAATATGCGTGGCCTGAATGGAGGCGTAAACAGAGGTGCCAGCTTCTTCCCGCCCTCACTTAAGCTGGATTCCTGTGTGGAGGTGTGTGGTCCGGATTCTGTGATGGAGGAGGCCCTCGAGGCATGTATCCTTGTTAATTTTTCAGATCCTCTCTGTTGTCTGATGGAGGAAGAACACTGAGGGTCAAATGATTATCAGCTCTGTCACTCACACTGGAAGAAAGAACTCTAGGATTAGAGACTTTGGTCCCCTCCCTAAGGAGCAGCCAGCAAATGACACCAGCTCCCTCCACCAGGACAAGCCACAGTAGAGATGCCTCCAGGGGGCTGAGTGTCTTATGGGTGTCTGTGACCTAAGGAAATGATGGAAAGAGTCCCATCCTGGGGGCAGGGCCCCTACGGGCTCGCAGTTAGCTCTGCCACCGACGGGATGGGGGTTCAGGCACTACGCATGCTACTCCCTGATGTTTCCATTTCCTCATCAAAAAATTAAGTGGACTGGAATTTTTGGAAAATCAAGTGGATCTAAAGTTCCTTTGCACTCTGGTGTTCTGATATTTTAATATTCCTCTGCGTTTCTACTGTTTGCCTCGTACCAAAGAGCTTGCCAGCGGGGAAGTTGGCCAAGACTCCAGTGGAGGGTCCCCGAAGGTGGCTTCTCCAAATGGCAATTTGTGGGAGGAAGGGCAACGTGCAGAGCATCCCAAAGGCAAATTCACATTTATTCCCCATTTTCTCCCTCTCTCCTTCCCCTCGTCCGCCTCTTTGCTCCTCCCCAGCGACGTGCAGAAACTTGCAGCTGCCCCAGACGTGCCCATCTGGAAAGCTGATTATGGCTCCTTCACCTCTACATGTCCCACCAGGGATTAGTAGTAAAGACTCCTCCAGGAGATGGAGACCACAGCCTTCCCGCCCCATCTCCCACCACCCCGTGTCCTCCTGCACTGTAGCGAGGCTGGAAGGCAGGGCCACTTGGAGTCCCACACCCACTCCCTGTCTGTGCATCACTCCTATATAGAGACAAAATAGAAAATGCCCATAAGAAGTTGGGGTGAGGGACATGTGCCAGAGGCCAGAGCGCTCAGTAAGAACATCCAAGGATACAGGGATGGTGGGGGCAGAAAGGGAGAGAATGGAAGGAGGGAGAGAGAAATAGAGGGAGAGGCAGGGAGAAACACAACCTCCTTGATTCTGCAGGGTCCCCATGGGTAGGACACTGGTATTGGGTCAGGAGGGAGGAGACTGAGTGATTCATTCCCAAGAATTTCATGCCAGGCCCCTACTCCAGGGCAAGGGCAACCTTCTCTGGGCACCTTACACCTCCAAGTTACGTAAGTGGCACCACTCTGAACCCAGAGATAATCAGATCAGAAGAGCCCCAGTCTGTCCCTCCACCGTGGCACGGTGCCTGCCACAGGCAGAGGTGCATATAAGTCTGTACTTCTTGAGCGTCCATCTAAGGAGAGATGCTTCAGACCCCAGGAGCCGTGGCCTGTGCCCTTATCTTTCGGCTTCTCCTACTTACGGCCCTGCCGACCCCCTCTCAAGGCAACCACCTGGGCCTCACATCATGTCTGCGTTATTCCACATTCCTAGATCCTTCTAATGTCATTTTCCTGCACTGGGACTTTGACCTTGAGGCTGAGATCATCACTTTTGAGCTCCAGGTCCAGACAGCTGGCTGGGTGGGCTTGGATATCACAAATCGCTACACCAGAGTGGGAAGCAATCTGGTTATTGGAGGAGTCTCGCCGGACGGCAATGTCTATTTCCCGGTGAGTGTGAGGGTGACTCCCTCCCAAGCGTGAGGGTCTCTTGCTGGGTGGAGAGTGGCTCTGAGTCCAGGAAGGATCCGCATTTTCCAAACACATCCAGGCACAGGCCCAGAGCACCAACTGATGGCTGACCTCTCCTTACAGAAATGGTCCATTGGAGAGTTTGAATCTAGGTCTTCCAGACTGCATGTCTCTAAGTTGCCAAGGGAATGGAGCCATTGGACTGAAAGAGAGAGAGTCCTGGACCACGGTCTCGGTGCAGGTCACTGGGGGGAGAGTCAAAGCCGTTTGGTACACAGTCCTCATCTTCAGTTACCTTTAGGATCAGTCAAATAGACCACAACATAAAATAATCTAACAACAACATCAGCACCTGCAACAACAATAGCTTAAAACTGTTACTCATTTTTGGTTAAGCAGGCATTGGTCCAAATTCTTTGCACATTAAACCTCACAGCATCACCATGAGGTTTCTTCCCCCATTTTACAGATGAAGACGCAGCTCACCCGTCTCTCAGTCTCACTCAATCTGAACTTCATTTATATGGCCAAGTGCCCATGGTAAGAGCCCCATGAGAAGAGGAATAGCATAGACAGTTCAGAGAATAAGTGAGCTTTTAAGACTTAGGGATATAGGAATATTAGGACTTATGGAGATGAGATTTGAAATGGGAGAAGTAAAGCAAGGTCAAGTGGTTAAACTCCATCAGACACCGTCCATCGCTCTTCCCCACGAATCCCCCCTCGATGCCATGCTCTGTCCTAGGAGCAAATTATAATACATAATACAGACCTGGGTTCTGCTAATTTGGTACTTTACTGGGGCTAAATGGACCCAGACTACTCTGAATCCGTGACCACTTAGGGCTCCTGGTTCTTACCCCTTCACCCTTCCTGAACCCTAGAATCAGCACCTGGTGGATGAAGACGCTCTGGAGGAGGGAGCCAGGATGCGGAGCTGCAGGCACTGACAGAAGACACCATCTATACCACCATGCGCTTCTCCAGGCCCTTCCACTCCTGTGACCCTCAAGACCAAGACATCACGGTAAAAGGGGGAGGAGAGAGGAGCATTTGCTCACAAGCAGCCTTCCTTCTAGGAGGTGAAGTCACCCCCAACCTGGAATGGCCGTGCCTGTCAGGCAGACAGTCTTGGTTCCAGGGCCCTCGTCTCTCTCAGCCTTCCCAGGCACGGCCCCAATCCTGCCACCTCTGGTTCCACCAGCCCTCTACAGGTGGCCTCCCACTGACTCAGCCCCATGCCACCCTCCCTAGTGTCCCCTCCTGAAGAACCTTGTCTGATCTCCTTGAACTTCAGTGTCATGAACCAGATGTGGACGCAGGCTCAGAGAGGGGACATGAGAGGGGGTGTGACTTACTCAACATCTCCAGCAAGTCAGCCTCTAGGCAGAACTGGAACCTGACTAGTTCTGACCCCCAGTCTGAAGCGTTCTCCTTTCTGAAACCGCTAGGTGGCATTTGCAGGGGCTCCAAGGAGCTCTGGTTCTTTATGTCTCAGTGCAGAAAGAATTCAGGGAGAGGCAAAGTGATAGATAAGAAGTGATTTATTAGAATAGGAAGCTGGTGAGGCTTATATCAGGTGGGTGAGAGGGTGCCGCCCCAGAGAACTTAGTGGTCTACAGTTTTACAATCAAAGGAAAAGTGGGGAGGGAGAGAAGACCACCTTCTTCCTCATTCTTGAGTAGACACAGGCTTCCATCATCAGCTCCGCCTCCACGTCGGGCGGGGGCGTTCTCTTGTCCCAACATGATCAAGCCAGGACTGTCGTGGTACTATGGAAAAATTATTTCAGGTCTCAGTACAGTGAGGGTTTTTCACTTTGACATGTCACCTTTCCATAAATTATTGTTTTTTATGTGTGTAGGGAGCATGCCCTAGGGGTCATTAACTTACTGAGCTCACTGGGCAGGATGTGAGTCTCATGTCACCATTGTTTTATTGTTTGGGGGCATGTCTCATGCTTCTGTTGCATGGTTTTGTTGCTAAGCAAGGCTGCTTCGTTTTGTGGTTAAGTAAACCTGCTTTCTTGAGTAATCATTAACTTACAGGAGTCTGCCATACTTTTTTTATCTACTTACAATCCCCTTGTGGGATTAACTATTTAATCACCTACTTTGTCCCTTTACTCTGTCTCTATAAATTCCACTGTGTCGATGTGAGCAAGTGGCTTGTGTCGGTGGTTGGGTGTGGGTGTGTGCAAAGTGCTGCTCGTGGGCTGCAGCACCTTTGATGCTCTTGACACCCCCCGAGTGACACTGTGAGGGTGCTTGCCACTTACGGCCCAGATGACACTCTGAAGCTGGATTGGGAGCGTACTTTTGTGAGTCCATCTTCCTGCTCCAAACTGTCCACCCTGATGATCTCGATGTCCCCGAGGACACCATCATCCATGACTTGGAGATCACTGATGTAAGGCCCCTCCTCCCCACCCAGCCGCCTCCAGCCACTGCCCACCTTCCTCTCAATCCAGACCTTCCTCTTGCACCCAATATTCAGTACGTTTCTGGAACTGAGGTTCCTCTGACTCCCCTCGGTCCCCCGAGGATGGTCAAACTGGCCCTCAAGTGGCCGCCCTTCCCCGACCTGTCCCTTCCCGTGCTTCTCTGGGAGCCTCCCTACCACCTGCTCAGCCTCTGTGTGTCCTCCAGTTCCTCTTTCCAGAGGATGACACCACGTACGCCTGCACCTTCCTCCCTCTCTCCATCGTTAGCAAGAAGCACCATATCTACAAGGTACCATGAAACAGACTTCAGGACATTGTCAAGGTGGTTGAGATCGGCAGTGGGCATGGTTGACTCTGAAGAGATGGTGTTCAGAAAACTGCTGGGAGGATGAAGGAGGGAGGTGGTCAGGAGAACATGGGGGCCAGGCCAGGTTTGGTGGAGGTGGCAGTTTCATGATTTCCCAAGCCCAGAACTATAGCTCCCAGCACTGTTTTATTCACGCCCCACAGTGCAGCAGCGATTCTGATGACGGTCATTGGTTAATAAGTGTTTGCAGAGAATAAAGTATAAGTCCTGTCCTGAGCCCAGAATTGTGTTCTCTTAGCCCAGGAGGAGGTGCAGGCTGGGGAAACGTGGCCAAAGGCTGTCAAGTCGGGAAAGTCTGGCTAGAAGAAACTCAAATCGGCCATCTGACTTCACATTTGAGTGATTCCAATTTTGATTGAATAAATAAAAGTGTGACCTTACAATGAGTGGCAAATGTGTGGGAGCCATTGTTTTCTTTAGAGAGTGAATGCAACAAGGCATGATCACATGCTCAAATATAGAGAGCTGACGAGGCTCTTAAGGGAAAGTAGAAAGTCTTGGGATGTTCCCGGCTGGATCAAGTGTGTTGTGCTTTCAGGAAGGGATTTTAAAAGGGTGAGGGCTGAGAGAGGAGTCAGACTGAGTGCAGGGGAAATGATAGGTTGGGGAAGGAAGAAAAAACAGAGGAAACAGAAGAGAAAGAGAGAGAAGTGGGGACTGGGCATAGTTTTATTTGGGGAAAAGGAATAGGGGGGATAAGAACATGGCCCAGAAGATCTTGACCACACTCTGTCCTGCGTCCCCCGCCCAGTTTGAGCCCAAGTTGGTCCATCACAAGGAGACGATGGTGCACCACATCCTGGTGTACCGCCTGTGGCAACGCCAGTGCTCTGCCCAAGGGCATCAGAGACTGCTACGGGGCCAACCCCGCCTCCTCCCTCTGCTCGCAGGTCATTGTGGGCTGGCCTGTCAGGGGCACAGTGAGTCGTGTGATGAGAGAAATCAGCCAGTAAGGGGACACGTGTGGTTGGGCAACTGGGATTGTTGGGAGGTCTGGGACGAGCGCCAAAAGACAAGGGCGGGCCCGGGTCCCTGCACCTACTTCCCAGCCATTCTTGCCGCCAAATCACCCTCCATCCAACAGAGTTACCAGTTTCCAGGTGACGTGGGTATCTCTACTGGGATGGCTTTGGACCCCCAGTGGGTCTGACTGGAGGTTCACTACAGCAATTTGCACAGTCTTCCTGGTGAGCGCCTAGAGCATTTACGGGAGAGCGGCGGCGAGGCTGGCTGAGCCCTCTAGGTGTCGGGAAGGGATGCAGGATGCATGCCTACTTCTTCTGCTGGCAGTGCCCCCCGCCCCCCCGCCGCTTTCCCAGGGCCTCTTCCTCCCCACCGTGCGACATGGTCTCCTGCATCCTGTGATTGGTCCTTCCTGCACCAGGTGTGTACGGCTCCTCGGGGATTCGAGTGTACTACACGGCGCAGCTGTGCAAACATGACATGGGTGTCCTGCAGCTGGGCTTCTGCACTTTCTCCATCCACTTCATACCCCCGGGCGCCGAGTCCTTCGCATCCTATGGGCTGTGTAAGACGGAGAAGTTTGAAGAGGTGAAGCTGGGAGGCACCCCTCCTCCGCTGAGCTTCCCGGTTCCCCATCGCAAATCTGTTGTGACCCACCAGGCACAGCTTGAGCCCCAGATTTAGAGAATGACCACTGCCTGGTGCTCAGGAAAATCGCTCACCTGAATGGGGCGGGGGAGCCAGGAGGCAGGGCTGCGGGGCAGGAAGAGGGGCCAGGAGGTCCAGTAGGGACTAAAGGGGTGTGTCTCAGTCATAAGACGAAGGTGTCAGATGTGAAAGGAGGAAACCGAGGAGCGGGGCCAGACGAGAGCTCCTAACAAGCCAGGTGGTCTCCTCCCTGCCACAGATGTACGGGGCCCTGGTGCCTGGCATCCAGGTCTGCGGCTACCTGCTCCACACCCACTTGGCTGGCCGCACTCTGCAGGCCGTGCAAAACAGGTAAGGAAGACACAGATTGGAAGCTCTCCCTTCTGTATTTGGAAATAAATGTTAGCAATAATTATTTATTCTGCGGCATGACGTTATACTCAGTTGGGAGTAGGAGAAGCTAGAACTATCCCTAGAGTAGTGATGACAGGAATATGACAGTGGAGGGAGCTTTTTCATTTTACAGGCAATCTGTGTCCACAGAATGACCGCACACGCTGTTTCTTTGTTGATAGACCCCGTCCCTGCTTCATCCTCTCCTTATTCCTGTCCCCTCCCCTTGTCCCCCTCCAGAAATGGAACACAACGCCGAACAATCTGTAAAGATGATTCCTAAGACTTCAATCTGCAGGAGACTCGAGATTTACCTTCTCGAGTGGCCATCAAGCCGGTGGGAGCCTGGGGGGAGGCATGGCTGGTGCTGGGGGAAGGCAGGGTCAGCACTCACTACTGTTAGCCAAGAGGACTGTACCAGTCCCTCTGTGTCTTACTTTGAGCCTTTGTTTCGCTCTGCACAGGGAGATGAATTGCTGGTAGGGTGTCACTACCAGACGCTGGACCGCGATTCCTTGACCTTTGTTAAGTACCTCTCTCCCCATCGTGGTCAATGACAGTGGCCTCAGAATAGAGCCCCATCCCTGGCCTTGGCTATCACGTGACTCAGATTATTCCAGCTGAAGCCCCTTTCTTTCTCCAATGGTATTACCCAGGCACATGGGGCTTCATGCTCTCGCATCCCCATGACTGTAAGATGGGTACAAGGATTCCCGTTTTCTCTGTCAACGACCCACTAAGACTATGAAAGGAAAGCATGTGATAGTGTCTAAGAGCGTGGACTCTGGGCCTGATTGCCTGGGTCTGAATGTCAACATGATCATTAATAACTTTATAACCTTAGACAAATCATTCAGATTCCTTGTGTCTCAGTTTCCTAATTCTTAAAAGAATTAATACTATCTATCTCATAAGATTTGGGGGAGAGTTGATTAACACGCCTAAAACATCTAGATCATTGCCCGACTTTTAGTAGATTGTCAGAGTTAGCTATTATTTTTATGGTCACAAGGAGCCCATATTTTGTGTGTCAGGAATGGCTCAGTGCCTGTAGGATTCAAAATGGATCGCATGCTTCCAAGGAAGAAAATACAGCGATACAAATGATTACAACACAAGTTAGAAAGTAAAATACACCGTAAGAGAACAATGGGGAAAATGCACTAGGGGAATTCACATGGAAAACAATCATCAGGTCCTATTACAGTGACCTGAACATGTGACATATTTGAGTGGGTCTTGCTTTTGACATGTAGAGATGGGGAATTCCAGGGAAGCTCAAAGGGAGTGGCTTTTTTGGGAAACTCGGTATCTTATCTTCTCAACCATCTTTTCTCAAACCAGGGCAATAGCAATGGAAATGTAGAGAATGGGGGAAGATACGTTGGATATTTCTTTGGAAATAATATCAATAATTGTCCACCAGTTAGAAACACAGGAGGAGAAAGCAAATGTGGTGAGTAGTAAATAACAATTAGTGAGCTGGCTCAAGGTTAAGGGAAAAGGAAAACAGTCTCATTGATAGAATGATCACCTAATCTGGTTTCTGCCTACCTTGTTCCCCTCTCCCTGCATGCCTGTGTATCTCTGTCTCTCCGTCTCTCTCTCTCTCCGTCTCTCTCTCTCTCTCTCTCTCTCTGCTTCTCCAGGGGGGGTCCCAGCACCGTTAATGAGATGTGCCTCATCTTTCTCTTCTACTGTCCCCGAAACAACATCTCCAGCTGCATGGGGTAGCCTGACATCATCTACGTGGCCCATGTGCTGGGGGAGGAGGCATCAGAGTGAGTCATCCTGAAAGATAAGACCCTCAAGAGCGACCTCTAGAAGTTAGATCACTCGTGTACAAAGTATTTGTCTGCCTTTTTCTCACGCACTACCTGATTCAAAGACTGCTTACTTTCAAGTAGTGAACCTTAATTACTTGGGACTAAGGGGCCTCCCTGAGACTGATGAAAGTGCTGAAACTCCTTTCCAAGAAAAATGCACATCTTTGCAGACACATCCTATTTCACATATAATTTCAGGACATTTATAGTTTCCCTGAAGTCACCCTGTCAACCTTCTTGGACGTCATGGCCCCCGGATTAAGAGACACTTCTTTAAAGAGTCAGAACTTTCTCTTTTCACTTTTAAAAATCCTCTTCTCTGAGCTCTGATGATCCTTCTCCTTCTGCCAAGCTCACAGTTGTGCCATTGAGTTGTGAGACATTCCTTATGGTTTATGCCAACATGGAAATGATGCTAACAAAGGTGAGGCTATTTTATACACATTTTGTCAAAGCTTTCAGTCAACCCTAAACTAGTGTCTGTTCTTCCTGCCCACGACAGTTCCATGCAGGGCATGATGGCCATGAACAATGTGGAGTGGACTCCGGAGAACATTAAAAAGGCTGAGAAGGGCTGTGAGGAGGCCCAGCAGACGGTGATAATAAAGACCATTGACGTAAGTGTCCCAGGAGACACCACCCTCCCAGGGTTAGGGATGGAGGGGTGTGGGAGGGTACTGGACGAGGCCGGGAAAGCGAAGAATGAGGGGTACGAATGCCAATGGCAGGAACGCTGGGTCAGAGAAGGAGAAGCTGAGGGAGCAGAAAGAGCGCTGATGCTGCTGTGGGTGTGGATGGTAGTCTAGCAGTTAGCCTGTGAGGCTGCAAGTACTGGGGATTACCAAGTAAGGTCTTAGGAGAGGAAAGGAGGTAGGGATGCTTCCACCTTCACCCATTTTCTCCCTTCTCCTGCAGGAGCTAGTGGAAAACACAACAGGCTGGATTCTGGAAATCATCCCTGCTCCCCGGGGTCCTTGCTTAGAGTCCTCCAGAGGCAAAGTGGAGCCCCAGGACAGAACCCCTGTAGGCTTCAGGGCTGCCCCCATGGCCCTCTCGGGCTCCGGCACTGCCACACCAAGGCGCCGCCCCCTGACTGCCCTCTTGTTTGGGCAGAGGGCCGTGTCTTGGTTCCTAGCCACGCTGTAGGCTGGAGCCTGATACCGTTTCCTCATGTCACATACTCAGGCCCCTCCCTGCTCAGGCCTCCCCTTATCACCAAACACAGAAACTCCCTCTGCTTTGGCCCCCAACGTCCTCCATCTGTGCCTTTCTCATGACTTCGGCCATGAAACTGCAGGCTTGGGTGTGGCACAGAGTCCATAAAGCCTTTCCCATGACAAGCTCGGCAATCCATCCTTTAAAGCTTTAGAAGCATTGGTGGGACCACACATTTTCTAACAAAATCTAGATTCAAGGCTGGGTGAGGTAATGGGTCTCTGAGCAGTCCAGTGCCCCAGCTTGATTGAGGGGATGCCGCGTGGGGAGGAGGGGGCTTGAATGCAGATGGGGGAGCCCTGTAAACCCTCCTCAGCCCATGCTGGCCTTGGAGGGGCTCCGGTTTCTCTTCTGACATTTTTGTCCAACCCTCCCTGTGAGGCAGAGGCAGCAAGCCACATGTGCTTTGCAGTAAAGGAAGGTGCTCTGTTTACAAGGAACAAAGCTCAAGATACCAAATTAAATAGAATTCAACTCACTTCCTGTTGCCATCTCTTTCCTTTGAGCCTTCGGTCCAGGAGAGGCAGCTGGGAGGTCTCTTGAATGGCTCAGGATAAGGCATCCAGAGGGCATTTGAGGGCCTGGCTGCCCAAATTGCAACATCTAATGCAGGCCTTGCTTGCCTCACCTGTGCCTCACCTGTGCCTCCACTGTCAGATGATCTTTATTTACTCAACAAGTATCACTTTCTCAACACTCAGATCACCAGGTGTCAAGAGCCTAACTGGCCAGGGAGGCTGACTTGGGCTCTGAGAACAGGTCACGGGCATGCTAGTGCATGAACCGCCTTGCTCATGGTTCCTAACTTCTGGAAGGGACCCCTACTCTGAATATTCCGAGGTATTTAGAGGGATCCTAACTCCCTGGAGATCAGGGATCTAGCCTCCGTAAACTCCTTGCCACTGCTTGAGGGGCCGAGCAAAGAAGAAAACACAGCTTACCCGAAGCCAGAGGGATCGTCTGGGTTCACTGCTGGGCTTCTCTGTTGTCAACATTCAAGTGAAATGAAGGCTCTCCTTTAGGTCATAATCTTAAAACATGGTTGAGGCCCTTTGGCAGCAGTTTGAAGTGTACAAATTACATTCTACAGCATGAAGAAACATACAGATAAAAATGAAACGATCAAAAGAGAACTTTTCTCTCTGGTTTGCCCAATTAACAAATAAGTCTGACATTTCTATTCCAATCTGTGTTACTCCAAGCCCCCCAGGCAAATTCTTTCAACCTCCATCTTTCAGGTAAAAATAAAAAGACAAAAAAAAGAAGAAACTCCTGGCTGGGTTTCTGATGACAAACCTCGGTCTGTGCTACAGCCTTATTCTCGGGTCTGTCTTGACAAGTTCAAGTCAGCTGGGCAGCTACTCCAAGGTTCTGCAGCCAGAATCTTCTAATGCTCCATTTGTATAGCTCATGGCCCTGTGCAGCTCCTCTCCTCTGTACCCACTTCAATTTCTGGTTGTTATTAAGCCTTCCTTCTTTCATTTTGTCTTCCTTCTCCATCTCTTGATCTCAGCATTTAGTCGCCATGCACATATTCACTGAGCATCCTCTGTGAGCTTGACATTAGGTCAGAACAGAAGCCACCAAAATGAACAGGAAACGGACAAGCACACCCCCCGCCCTCCCGCCCCTGTGGAGCTGAGGTAAAGCTTCTGTGAGCCCCTGGCTGGCCATTTTCTCCTTGGGTTCACAGCATCCGCCTCTGAGTCTATCCCAGCGCCATGGATCATTCCTCCCGCTGCTGACTGCCTCCAGAGAGGAACTATATTTATACCAACCTATGGAGAATAATTTGTTTCTGTATTTAAAAGGGATGCATTTATATTGATATTATGCATATATATTAGACGGCGAAATGTTTGAAAACATTCCTACACAGGGTAGGAGCGTGAATTAGATGACCTCAAGTGTTTTTCCAGTTTATGTGTTTTGTGACTGCCGTTTCCAGAAAGCCTAATGATACACTACAAAAAGAAGGGCTCAGAGTTGAGGTGGAAAGGGACGACCCCAACTTCCTCCTAGAACCTTCTGGCAGATGGGTCTCTGTCATTCCTCATCCCTCGGTGGTCTCTAAGTTGAGGTCAGCTCTGCGTGACTCTGAGACTGTAACTCTTTTTGCATCTCACCTCCTCTACTCAAAACTCCATCTTAAATGTGGAGAGCAAATAAGGGATGTATTCCCTCATTACTTTTTTCTGTGATGACGAGAGGACCCACAGGCTAATGTTTACAAGGATCTGGTCTTTCCTGAGGAATAAGAATATCTTGTTACAATTTCAAATTTATAGGAAAGTCGCAAGAATTCCCATATGCCCTAAAATGAGCTTCGTCCATTGTTTATACTTTGCCCCATTTCTCTCCCTCCCTCTCTCTCTTCCCGTCTCTTCTGTTTTTCTCCTCCTCCTCCTTCTGCTGCTTCCTCCTTCCCCTGTCTCTCTGTCTCCCTCTCCTTCATGAAGCTGATAACTTAGTTTCTTACTCCTGTTTGCTAGAATTCTCATCATGTTTAAATTCCTGCTATACTTAGCTGAGACGAACAAGCAAGCTCCCGACTCCACTGCTCCACCACGGCAGTGACACCCAACCTTGACAGCATATCAGAGTCACCTGGGTGATGGGAGCAGCGACCAGGCATTAGTGAATGATTAAACTCTCCAGGTGTTTCCAATTTGCACCCGAGATTGAGGACCACTGAACCAGAAGTTCAATTGCTCTTAACTAGTCTATTTCCTGGATGGGCAGGAATCCCATTCTGGCTTCACAGATTGAAGCCACGGCACAGGCACTGACCAGCCCAAGTGAACGCCAGTGAAGAGGAGCCCTGGAAGCCCCCTGATTTCCAAGAGTTAGACTTTTAGTTGCTGGGTTGTGAGGATGTGTGGGGATCTCAGAGAAGGGGTGCATCTGGGGGGGGGGGGCTCAGGGAAGAAGCTATTTACTAAGCATCACTCAAAAAATAAATAGCAAAGAAAGAAGAGCCCTTTTAATGTCAAGTAATGAATATAGAGAAAAAAAATGTGAAGTTAGAAAATCACCATTTAATAAATGTATAGTAATAAATTGAATCAGACAAGAATCCTCAATGGGTGACAAAATAGGAGAGTAACCCAATAGCTACATAGCCTCAAAGTATCTCCTCATTATATACTTATTAATTATGATGAGAGGAAATAGTAATTTTAAGATAGACCTGGCAGACACCACCTCAAGAAAGTAAGCCAATTAGCACCACCAATCGTGGACAAACAGACATCATGTGCCTCCTGACAGGCATACCAGGACACACATAACATCAATTCTATGTTATATCTGTCCAAGAAATGTACAACCTCAGTATAATCATGAGGAAATATTAGACAAACCCAAAATGAGGAATATTCTACAAAGATCTGACTTGTAATTGTGAAAATGTCAAAATCAAGAAGGAAAAAGAGGGGCTGAGGTATAGTTCCACAGTAAACTTAAAAACAAAAATCCAGGGCTTCCCTGGTGGCGCAGGGGTTGGGAGTCCGCCTGCCGATGCAGGGGACGCAGGTTCGTGGCCCGGTCCGGGAAGATCCCACATGCCGCGGAGTGGCTGGGCCCGTAAGCCATGGCCGCTGAGCCTGCGTGTCCGGAGCCTGTGCTCCGCAACGGGAGAGGCCACAACAGTGAGAGGCCCGCGTCCCGCAAAAAAAAAAAAAAACCAAAGAAACAAACAAAAAAACCCCCAAATCCAGTGAAAGTGAATGCATCATGTGCTCCTCATCCAAATTACTACCTGTTGCTGTTGTCGTTGTTGTTTAGTGTTTTTTGTAAAGAACATTATTGGGATGATTGGTGACATTTGACTAACGTGTGTGCATTAGATGGTGGCATTGAATGAACGTTAACTTCCTGACTTGGCTGATTATATTGTGGTTATGTAAGAATATGTCCTTGTGTTTTAGGAAGACATTGTGTCTACAAACTCTCAAATTATACGCACGTGTGCACGTGTGTGAGAGAGAAAATATGGTAAATAATTTATAGTTTATGGATAATATTTGGGAAATCTGGGTGAAGAATATAATGAAGTTTTTATACTATTTTTGCAACTTTTCTCCACACTTATTTCAAAAGAAAAATGTTAGTTTAAAAAAAAAGAAACAAGCATAAGATCTATACAAAAAGAGTATGAAAATGGAGCAAGTTTTTTTTTTTTTAAAGGCAAAATGTCAGCTTTTCCAAGCAAGAGTTTTTGACCACTCTGAGCAGAGAACCTCTGGTCTGCAAGCTATAGTGTACCCTTGGATTAATTTCACTGGCAGAAAATATGATGTTTCCCGTATAAAATAATGTGCATGAACTTACACACACACACACGCACGCACGCACAGAAACTTGGTTTCTGCCTCTATAAACTCCTAGAATGACAGACACCGTATCTTTTGCTTTAGTACAAGAGAGCCTTTGTAAAAAGGGGAAATGCACCTGGATCTCATTTCAAATTGGGACAATATGTTGGCAAAAGATCAAGAAAGGAGATTTATTGTTACACAAATCTTTCTATTCTTTGTGTGGCAGTTTACTCTTAACTCCCCACACCCTGTGTGCACTTGTGACATCATTCACATTAAATGCTAACTGACAATCCCAGCTATAATCTGTTTCCTATAGTGCAGAAAACAGCTAGCTTCACCATCCCTTCTTGCTAACCAGCAGCTGGAAGGTATTAGGTCATACCAAAAAGTAACAGACATTTTGAAGGGAAGAGACAAGCTTGTGAGCCAGTATCTTCCCATTTCTCATTAGTAAGAAGGAACAGTGAAGTTAGCTATTGGCAGAACATTGTAAATCAACTATACGTCGATTAAAAAAATAAAGTGTAAAAAAAAATTGTAGCTATCTCAAAATATTGTTTATGCTGCTCATCACACTGACGTTATGACATTAGATCCACTTGCTAGATC